TAAGGGCAGTTCCTGTAACTTTAGTCCATACTTTTGGCGCAGCTTAAAGACCATGAGTCATGATGGGCTTTAATAAAAAAAAACTACAACGGACAGACCTATGGGGTTATACGAAATGGTGCCGTAGGACTACGTGGTCTTGTATAATAAATGTTAACTGCAGCAGGAGCTTGTGTTTTGTGTATAAATAGGAATTTGAGCGGGGTTCTCTCTGTTTACACTCTTTAGTATGACGCGCTTGACATAGATGGCCCACAGCGACTCACGAAGAGCTACTGATTCCGATCAATAGCAGTGCGGCTTCTTCCTCCTTCTATGGATGCTCAAGTGGGCTGCAGCTCGCTGCTTGTAGGTAGCCTTTCGTTGTGTACTGGAGAACAATGTTCAATGCCACTGCTACTGCTGATGCCGACGAATGGACACCACCACACACGGTGATTGGAACTGAATCCGATCAGCGGTTGAGGCCAGTCTTGATAGCTAGCTGCTTTCGGGGAGTTTTCCGTTGTGTACTGGAGAACACCACCACTCACCACGTGGTGATTGAATAAACACCGTTTGGTGAGACTGGATGGAATTCAACTTTGAAATCTGTGTTAAGGAAATCGCTTTACGCAAGCAATCGGTGATAATTTAACTATCATAGCAACAGTTGCACATCCGTGCAATTTTCTATAGTGACATATTGAAAAATAATAAAGTATTAAATTTAACAGATGCGTAGTAATATTTCTGATCGATTGGTGATAAAACTATTGAAATTGGTCCAGGGGCAGCTGAGTTATTAACGTTCAAAGTCTTTCATAAATTTGTTACTTGTTCTATTTTCCGTTTTCACAAAGTGTACCCTCATATAGAAATCACAGACGTATACCTTCGTCGAAATTGAGAACACTTGAGACGGCGGCGTTTCTTTAACCTCAATCTACACTCTCGATCATAAGTATAAGGATACCACAAAAAAAAAACATGACAAATTTGTTATGTTCATATCTCTGTCATGTTACGTTCAATTTTCGTTCTCTTTAGATCATTTGAAAGGTATTGAATGGAACTTTTCTCGTAGGCAAATTGTTCAATATAATTTTAAAATTTTGTGTGCTAAAAGTTCACCCAAAGTTACAATATTTTTCAAAATTGACTCTGAAGAATCGTGACTGATTTTCTCAGAATTGGGTTTTCCAAATTTTGAAAAAAAAAGTGGTAGTAGAACACCTATGCTATACCATTCATACCATTCAAATAACCTTTGGAGATCGAAAATGGAACGTAAAATAAGAGATCATTGAACAAAACATATTTGCATGGTTTTTTGGGGGTGTCATTAAACTTATGATCGGTAGTGTACCTGAGCACCAACTTTCACAACATAAACAGTAAGCAAAATATTGCTTGCAATTTATAGATATTGAGTTAACTAGAAGACCAATTGTATTTTTCAACCGATTCGAGTATGAATATGTCATTAAATCTGGTTTTGAAAGTTGGTGCACAGGTAAAGAGTAAGGTTACGCAACTCCACTGCCTTAAGATATCCTGAGAATTTCAGGAAAGTGCGGAGACCTAGAGAAAATTTCGGAAAACTTCAGAAAAATTCCAGGAGCTTCACAGAAGTCCAGAGAATTTCAAGTAAGTTCAAAGGTGTTTAGGAGATTTCCATTTATTTCAGAGCAGAACCGACATTTTCGATAGAGGGTCAGAGGATCAAAGGGCAGTTCAAATAATTTCATGAAAACTGCAGAAACCTTAAAAAGTTTCTAGAAACTCAGGGAATTCCCGGAATCTTAAGCAACCCATCCGAACAGTGTATGAGTAGTTTTAGGGTGTTATATCATGGATATTTCAAATACTTCTTAAAAAAAAATCGAAAATTAGCTTTAGTAAGAGAACATAATTAAAATCATAATATAAACAAATACGAGAAGTTCTAGCAAGCACCGATTCAAGAAATTCCAGAAAATTTCAAGGAAATTTAGAGTGGTTTAGATAGTTTTATGATATTCAGCAAAGTTCTGAGTGCTTCGAGCACTATCTTTATATAACTTCAGAACAATCCCATTAACTTACGGAAATTTGCAGCGACTTACAAGGAGTTCCGAGGAATTTAAGGATATTCCGAGAATTCAATAATTGATGTTCAGATGTTCTGATAAGTTAAGGGAAAATTAGTAATTTAAGGAAAAGTTCCGTGAGCGTTTATTAAGTTTATAAAACTTAAGAAAAATTCTTGAAAAGTCTAGGCAATTTTATGAATTTTCGTTTAGTTAACCACTTCATTCCAGCAGTTAAAATGACGTTTACTACCACGCGAGCTTTGAAATAAAACATTATTTAAAAAAAATTCTTCTAGAACCACGAGAAAAGTAGCCATCATTTGTGCGTTTCATAAAAAATAGAAATTAGTTGGTCCAGATTTGTGGAATCGCTGGTTCAAAGTCACGCCAAAACTGCTTGACAAAGTGGTCAATTGTGAGCTCTTATAAAAATGATCAGTAATTCAGTAACGGAATTCACAAATCTTTTTGGCAGTTTTAATAACATCAGGAGTGTCTAGGATATTGGTGAAGTTATGAATTAATGTCGATAATTTAAGGTCAGTTCCACGAACTTCAGAAAAATGTTGAGAACTTCAGTGAAAGGTGCTAAAGAAGGAATTTCAGAAAAACTTCTAAAACTTCACAGAAGCACAGGGATTTTCAGAAACATTTCGAGAACTGCAAAGTAGTATATGGAACTTAAGGGAAGATCCAAAAACTTCAGGAACTATCAGGAAGGTCAACAAAATGTGAAAGCATTTCAAAGAAGCTTAGTAAGCTCCAAAAAAAGGGGCATTTCACGACAAGTTCAGTTCCATTAGTTTCAGAAAATTAGTGGAATATTAAGAAGTTTCCAGATTTTCATCGAATTTCAGAGATGTTAAGAAGAATGATATCTTCACATAAGTTCAATTAAAATCAGGGCAGTACAACAAGCTTCATGAGAAATTCAAAAACTTTAGAAAAGTTTTGACAACTTAAGGAAAGAACAGAGAACCTAAGAGCAGTTCCGTTAGCAATAAATAAAATACATAAATTTAAAGAAGATTCGAGAACTTAAGCGAACTGTTAAAACTTCAGTTTTCGATGATCGTTAGGAAAATCTTTATGAAGCCCAAAAAAGTTCAGGGAAGTTTAAACATTTGATGAAAAGTATTGTGAGCTAGTTTCTCATATCCAGAACTGCCTTAAAAGTAGAATGCACATGATGTTTTTCTCAGAGATTTTTTTCTAGAACTCCCTTTGCATGAGGTCCTTAGAAATTAAAATTTAATTCCATGATACCTTAAAACTGGAATTTGACTCCATATTCTTGAAAGCTTCTTGAAATATTTTAACTTTTGAGTCCAGAATTTCAAAAACTTGTCCAAATTAAAAAAAGCCTTTCAAGTCTCTGAGTTTTTCTAATTTATTTGTTACTGAATATAAGTCAAGTTTGTATGTATACAGTTCAATGTGTGAATGAAACTAACGAGAAAAACTAAATGTTTTAAAATAGCTTTGTCCTAAGAAAATTATTAAATACCGTGAGACTTCCAGATATTTTTAGGAAAAATTAAATTCCCGGAGCATTTGCGATTTTCCAGGTTGTGCCTGGCTAAAATCGTGGGTTTTGTGCTAAATTTTCTTTTCAATCTTGCCCTCTAAAGGTTCACATCGTGCATAAGTGTTTATGAGATACTAATTGAATAAGTCTAAAACATCAAACATTTATTTGGTGTGCCATCAAAACAACTACTTCTCGTCTCTTAGGACATTTTTAATCACTTTTATGTAACTATAAGTCACTGTTTGGTCACTTATTTCTTCAACATGGTCACTAACATCACTTTTTTTGACAGCATTGATCGCTACCAGCCCTGAAATTGGTTCTGCATTCGAATTATTGAAATTCGGTCTAGTTAAAACATTATCTTAAAAATTTACTCAAAACTCTTTGCAAGATTTTATAACAATTTTCTCAAGCATTTCCTTTGGAATCATTTCTCATCAGAATTCTTCTAAAATTGGTTTGAGATTTTCTCTGGGAGTCCTTCCCTCCCCTTGGCTAGTTTTTGCACCTTGCTGTTGGTAGGCGGGCTTAATTTTATGGTAGGTTTATGGCTGGCGTTGCTGGCTCATGCCGCGATAGAATGGCGTCATGGGCAGGCAATGGGGATTACTAAGCTTCCCCTCTCTGATAAACCACTGCATGAGAGAACCAAAGATCTAGTCTAGCAGTGATAGTATCACACTTGCAGGGCTGTTACAACAGGCGCGGATATCGCGAATTTCGCGGATTTCGCGATTTTCGCGGATTTGTCGCGGATTTGAAGTTTCAGTCGCGAAAATCGCGGAAACATTAAATCTAGATAGAGCTGGAATTAGGGCGTAACAGCCTTTGTAAACAATGACTTCTCTCGTTGATTTCTAGGAATTCAAGGCACGCCTACACAAACCAACACATCCATCAAGTACGGGAAGTCTTCCCCTACTCGATGGTGATGTCGATTTGCCAGGGAAAGCCATAACATTCGAGAAATCCTCGAGAGAAGTCATTGTTTACAAAAGCTGTTACGCCCTAATTCCAGCTCTACCTAGAAATGATGTTGCGAAAATAGCGAATTGAATGATGTACTGTCACACGAATTGTGGAATTCATTGTAACCTTTCCGTCCCGTATTATTTAGCTGTCATCAATTTCGTTGTTCATTTGGCTTTCAATTTTTTACCGGTTCAAACTAAACACCCTGCAAATAATCTAGAAATGATCTTAATTCCATAAGTCATACCGGATTTACACGGAAATTCCCTGAGGTTTGTCCAATGTGAGACATTATCATGTTTTTTTTATTTCCAATATGAACATAGCATTTTTCGTTGTCAAATCATAAACGAATCGTATATATGCGAGTAATTGCCATGTATACCGGATATTCTAGATTCTCCAAACCGTCCTGGAGTTCAGTTGATTTGTTCTACTATATCAACCAAGACTGCAATAATGTCTGTAGTATCGAAATATGTCCAAACAGATTCAAAGTGTCTATGTGGATTGTACCCAACCTATTGCTACGTATACAAGATGTTATAGGTTCTGAAATCATTCTGGAGATCAGATTATTTTTCTACTTGATCACCCAAGACTAATTCAATATCTGTAGTATCGAAATATGCCCAAACAAATTTGCAGTGACTATGTGGATCATGCCAACCTATTTCCGTGTATGCCAAATGCTCTAGGATTTCCAAATCGATATTTCGATACTACAGATATTATCCTAGTTTTTGTTGATCTAGTAAAACAAATCATCTGAAGTGCAGGACGATTTGGAGAACCTAGTCATCTCTCATCTGGGGGCGACCCCGGCGTAGTGGTTAACATCCATACCTCTCCCGCCAAAGTCACGAGTTCAAATCTAACCCCCGGACAAGTCACGAATGACCCAAGAGTGTTAAAGTGACTATAATAATAATAAAAAAAAAAAAAACCTAGTCATCTGGTATACGTGAAAATAATTAAACATTATCCATATAGAGACTATGAATCCAAACAATATTTCGATACTACAGACTTTATCCCAGTCATGGTTGACCTAGTAGAATAAATCATCTGAACTCCAGAACAATTTGGAGAACTTAAAACATCTGGTATACATGGCAATAGTTCATGCATGATCCACATAGACACTGTGCATTTGTCTGGAAATATTTCGATACTAAAGACATTGTCCCAATCTCGGTTGATCTAGTAGATCAAATTATCTGAACTCCAGGACGATTTGAAGAACCTACTGGATTACTCGGAAATAGATCATGCATGATCCACATAGACACTTTGAATCTGACTGGACATTTTTTGATACTACAGACATTATTGTAGTCTTGGTTGATTTAGTAGAACAAATCAACTGATGTCCTGGACGGTATACATAGTAATAAGTCGTTCATGATTCACACAGTCACATGAATACGATTCGGCAGACCCCAAGGAATATCCGTGTAGATACAGAACCGCGACGTGACCAATAAGTGTGACTTATGAAACTCTGGCAATTTCTCGATTATGTGCAGGGTGTTTGGTTTGAATCGGTCAAAAATTGAGAAAACTAGAGCCAAATTAACTACAACATTTAGGACACCAAAATATGTCAGAGACGCAAAGGTTAACTTTCAAGAAAATTTCCATTTCAAATGAAAATACATAATTTTTTTAAATAATGTTTCATCAAATCTAGGCCGGTATTATTCAATAGAATCTCATAACGGAAGGGTGTTACATAATTGCTCAGAATTTATACTATACATAAATATTTTTTTTATGTTTACAAACGATACTCCTTTAGCTCAGTTGGTAAAGACGCAGTTACAAAGCAGGTCCATGCTGGAGGCGACTGAGTTCGATTCCCGTCCGGTCTATTAATTTTCGGGGTTGGAAAATTGAGGATAGGATGGTACAGGTATAGAAAGCTCTCAATTAAAATGTGAAAGTTGAAGTACTAAGTTGAGAGAAGGCAAAAATCTAATATGCTATAAGCAATAAGCATGAAATACCATGTAGTATTATACAAATCCAGAACAACATGTGAAAAGGGCATACAAGCTTTTTGTAAACAAACCTTTGTAGGCCCTTTTCTCACCAACCGAGGGTCGCTCACGCAAACCAGCAATATCATCGGGAAGGGGAAAGTGTCCCCTACCCGGTGATGTTAAAGATTTGCATTGGTGTCATATGGGTGGCGAGAAAAGGGCATAAGAAGGTTTGTTTACAAAAAGCTTGTATGCCCTTTTCACATGTTGTTCTGGAAATGGTATTTTTAGGCAATGAAAACAGTTTTTTTTTGTCGCGGATTAGTATTTGAAGTCGCGGATTTATTCTGAGGAATCGCGGATTTCGCGGATCGATTTTAGAAAATCTTGTAACAGCCCTGCACTTGTTACTCCTTTAATTGAGAGCCACGTCGTAGTACGCTTACGCATAGGCATTGACGTTGGGTGTGATACTGGTGGGTTTTGCCGCAAATCCCTCTTATTTTATTTATTTTTACGCAGATAGATTTATTTGGGTTTGCAAGGGAATTATATTATTGAAATATTTCAGAAAGTGCCCAACGGTGTTCCTTTTATTTGCGTGACAAGCTTTCATTGTTGTTTTCATTGAAGTATTACTCAGGAAACAATGTTAAACATCATTTTTGTACATGGTATTGTAACTAATCTTATATGTGTTTCATTTTGATTTGGAGTAAGTGTTTGAACTTTGGCTAGGGATTTCCTTTGTGGCGTGCTTCTATTGTGACATACCTGATATCTTATTGAAAATTCTTGTTTAATTCAACTTTCAACTTACATTTTAACACTCTCAGTATTTGGTATGACCACCCTTTGCTTTCAACACTGCTTCCAACCGTCTTGGCATACTTTCGACGAGGTTGAGTAGATATCCTGAATCGATATTCAAGTGCTTCAAAATAAACGTTTTTGTTGGAAACCGATGCTTTATCCACTTTGTTGTCCAAGTAAGACCACAAATTCTCAATTGGTTGAGATCGGGAGATTGGGGAGGCCATTCCAGCGTTTTGATCCGATTTGATTCGAAAAAGCCCGTTGTTTTCTTCGCTGTGTGCTTTGGGTGATTATCTTGTTGGAAAATGTAATTGGATTCCAGGCCAGTTTTCAGTAGCGAAACTTCCAGATTTTCACTTAACAAGTCAATGTACACATCTGCAGTCATTATTCCCAAGCTTCCAACACCAGACCACGCAAATGCTCCCCATACCATGATATTTCCGCCTCCGTGTTTCACCGTCTTTTGAATGTATGGTTCCTTAAGAGCGTCACCGGAACCTCGCCAAACCCTTGATCGCCTTTTCTGTCCAAATAACTCAAATCTGCTCTCATCCGTCCATAGAACTCGTTTCCAGAAGTCCACAGTCATTCCGGCGTACTTTTTAGCAGTCGCTTCCGTTGGTTCCGCTTGTTGATAAAAGGACGCTTCGATGCCAAACAGCTTTTCAAACCGCTCTCATTAAGTCGCCGGCGAACAGTACGCCGACTTACATTGAGATCCATCGATTCCACAATATGCCTCGACGAATACTTCGGATTCTGCTTAGCCATTCGAACAATTCTGATGTCATCACGATTACTTGTCGCACGATTACGTCCTTGTCCGGATAAATTCCTCTTGTTTCGTACTTTTTCCATGTGTGCTGAACAGCTCCAACTGAGATCGAGTACTTTTCGGCAATTTTCCGAAAAGAAATTCCTTTTTCACGATCGCGAATCACCAAATTTCTAACATCGAGCGAAATCTGCTTTCCCGACATGTTTCACTGTTCAAATTAAACAAACAAAACACAATGGTGCGATGCGCACGCTTCCCGGAACAAGAACTGTCAAATATTACGCCGTGATGCCAAATCTTCAGATTTGTTTTTATTCGATGCCTAAAAAATAAAATCTTTTAGGAGTGTATGATTTATTTTGTCCAAGCACAAAAGTGAGCATATATAACAATTTTCATTCAGCTAATTGAATGCACCATGAGAAATACTTGAACTTTTCTGAATATACTTCTGAAATTGCGTGCAAAATAGCAAAAATATGAATGTACTTTTTCGCTTGAGCGTATGATTTAGTTTGTCCAGTACTGTATATATATACTATGCAGTTGCAAGTGGCATTAATAGATTTTAAATTCATCAATAAAGGGCTGAACCGTGATTTTTCAAACATTGCAAGTTTGCTGTTCCACATTTTACCGGAGTGTTACAATATCTTTAGCTTTTAGCTTTTTTAAAACTTAAGATTTTATCGGATTAACTCTTGAGTATAAGAATTTACAAAGTGGAGATTACCACTCGATTTCATAAGTGTGATGCAAAAATCAATGAACTTATTAACTATAGGGAAAAAATCAGGTCCCGGAAAATTTCATATTTGTTAGTCCTCCTGTTTAGTTTTATGACTAACATTTGTTAGTCTTTATTATGAAATGAAAAACGATTCTCGTTTTACAGCCAACCTTGTGGTTCTAGAGTTTGCCTTGCATGTTCTACAGGATGTTATAATTCCTCGACTCGAACGTTAACCGAAAACACAAGTCTGCCCATTAAAGTGCAAGTAACCTAGTTAAAAATCTTCCCCACCCCGAACAAACTTTACCGTCCTCTCGCAGTTTCGACCAGTTCCGCTTAAAAAAAAACGCAAACTTTCCCTTCCTAATTTCGCCCCTCCTCTCTTTTCGTTTACGCATCCAGGCGTGACTGCAAGCTCGCTCTGCATCTCAAACCGGTCCTGTAATTTTCCACATGTGTAAGCAGGCACCTTCCTGGGTTGTAATAGGAAAAGTTACTCCTTCTCCCGTGTTTCATCTGCTGGTGGAAAGTTAGCAAGCAGTGAAACCGAAAATTTTCACTTCCCATCCATGCATTAGGTTACATACATCGAACCGATGAGAACACGACGACGACGACGATTGCCGTGCTGGCGACGATGGAGTTGAAGAGTGTGAATGATGAGAGTTCTGAGAAACGGACGGGACACCCCTTTTTGCCTCGACTGCCTCCTCCTGGTAGAAGTCTGCGCTCCGTATCCAGTCAGTGCTGGGAATTTTCACGAGAATGATGACGTGTTGAATGGCAGAAAGCACTTTCCGTAATGAACATTTCGTGACTCATCCATTCTCTTCGGGCGAATGTGAATGTTTCTGTGTGTGTGTGTGTGCGTCTAAGTCGGTTCAGAGGCACAGATGCGAATTTTGTTTGCAAAACTCTGAACGATGAGGTGATGAAAGGGAAGTTGGATGAAGTTTTTCCTGCTCGGAATTCTCTTGATACCGAAGCAACCCAGCAACAAGACGAAGATGGGAACGAATTGACTGCTAACAGGGTGATTTCCCTCTGTTTGTGTCTTTCTGTCTTGTTTCGAATCAATCGGATTTACTCCCAACGCGGGAACGTAGAGATAGCCGAGCAGCGATGTTCTCCTAGAAGACTAGACATCAGATTGAGCTCATTGAATTGTTAAATCACCTCGGCATTGTTCGGGCGCAGGGCCGGATCCCAGCCGGGAGATAAATCAAATGAGGTTGAATCGATTTTGCGAGCTTTGATTTTCTCCTTCCTTTTCTTACAGTTTGACTGTTGTGCAACTTTTGCTGAAGTAGAAAAAAAACGAGCGAAAAAAAGAACGGAATTGATTTCAATCGCCGACTTCAAAAGTTCGTGACTTGAGGCACAAGCACACAAAAAAGATGTGATTGTTATTTTAGAGCGCAAATGAAAGATTCCACTCAAGACTGTCTGACATTTCAAGATCAACAAATGAAAAGGCCTCATCAGCTCACCTATGCAAACTCAGTATTCGAGGGTGTTTGTTGGTATGGGTAGACAAGCTTCGAGTCCGCACGAAGTCTTGTTTACACAAGCTGATGAGGCCTTTTCAATTGTTGATCTTGAATTCGTGCCTTCGTTTCGTTTTCCGAATCTCCTTCTCGGTTCAGTTCGCGGTCTGGCGGGGGAGCGGGTAAGAAGATCTGTTTGAATTGTGTGATTTTCTAATCCGCGTGGTGCTTTACGATTCGGGGTTTGAGATGTGGCATATCGCTTTCCTTTTAGGGGACCATTGAAGCAGATTGGATTTTTTCCCCTTTTCAGGCACTTGCGTTTTTTTAAGTGGGGCATTTGCATGTATGAACGGAAACGTGGATTGAATCTTAATGGTTGATGATCGGTGAGCAACGGTTTTTTAAATGACAGTGGCTTATTCGGAAGAATGCAATAGCACTAGATGCTATTTTGTTACCCCCTACGGATGGGCCAGAAAATATCACGCTCTGC